TTCTTTTCATTCTACTGGAATTTGTGAGAACCCAGAGTTTTCTGACGTTTCTGACATTTGTTGGCCATTCAAGTAAAACACCGAAATCATGTGTCTTGCTTTATGGGAGGGCAGGAGTGTCACTAGAATGTCTAATAATTAGGTGCTGGACTTTGGAAATGATCAGCTGGTTTTCTTGTCTTTTTTCACTGTTGTTTATCTCTCCTAGAATTTTTTTTTTTTTTTTTTTTACAATTCTTCCTTTTCAATTTCCAAGAGAGCTCTTTCATGCTCTCTCTCCCTCTCTCCTTTTATTCTGGTTTTATGGACGCGATCTCTTACCTCTGCCTCCTGTTTCCTGCATTGCTCTGTTTCCTTCAAGTGCCTTTTGGTTGTTACTGTTTTTCTGTGGTTTTTTTTTTTTGTGTTTTTTTAATATATTTTATTAATTTTTCACAGAGAGGAGGAGAGAGGGATAGAGAGTTAGAAACATCGATCAGAGAGAATCATCGACCAAGCCGCCTCCTGCACACCCCCTACTGGGAATGTGCTTGCAACAAAGGTACATGCCCTTCCCCGGAATCGAACCCGGGACCTTTCAGTCCGCAGGCCGACGCTCTATCCACTGAGCCAAACCGGTCCCGGCTGGTTGTTACTGTTTTGGTCAGATTCATTCCTTTTATTCTGGAGTCTTTGCTTAGGTATACGGTGCTTCTGGACCGGACATTCATTCTAAGTGCAATATGATTGGAAGCTCCCTGCGGGCACAGGGAGAAAATAAATTATAGAAGTGAAATTGCTGGCAAAGGATATGGACACTTGTACCTCACTGGCTCTTACAGCCAGATGGCCCTCCAAGCAGTTGTGGGAATTCTGACTCTTAGTAACGAGTTTCCCTCTGTGACCAGTGCATTATCACATTTTCTGTAGTCTCCAAATTTATTTGTAGAAAAATCTAATTTCAGTGTCGTTTTTATGTGTATTTTTTTTTTTTTGCAATTGAGCTTGAGCATTTTTTTATATAGTATAGAGTCACCTGTACTTTCTGTAAAATGTCTGCTCACATTCTTTATAATTTTTCTTTTAAGATATTGGTGTTTTTGCTTATCGATTGTGAAAATGCTTTATCTAGGAAATTAGCCCTTTGTCTATCACACATGCTTGGGAGCTCTCCTACCGGTTTACTTGTTGCATTTGTACTTTTTTTTTTTTTTTTTTTTTTTTTTTGGCAAACGGAAAGTTACCATTTTATGTAGTCAAATTTAATGTTCTCTTTTCTGACCACTGAGATCATGGAAAAAAAAAATTGTTTTGTTCCCCCTAGTATTTTATGATTTCATTTATTTTGCTTTTATTTAGATGATCTAGTTGGCATTTATCTTGGCAGGAGGTAGAGATTCAATTTTCCCTCAGTTGGCTGGCAACCTGTCTCAACTTACAAATCTTCCTCAATACAAACCCACAGCAATGTTTTAAAATCGTAAAACCCTCCTTCTGATCGACCAGAGTAACTGTCTCCTGGTCATTAAGGCAAGACAGGATTGTTTCGAAGCCATTGTGCCGGAAATTTAATTTGTGGGCGCATGTAATCCGACCACACTTGGCAGCTGAGCCTGACCCCTCTGTGTGCAATTGGAACCTGAAGTTAATCAAGTAGCAAGTCCAAAACCTGATTCTAAATCACAGGCCTGAATGGAGTTGATGATACAGAGCCCAGGTTAGAAGGGGAGGGGAGGGGAGCTGAGAAGAGTCCAGGGCAAGCACTGCACGCACGGGAGCCAGTGACCAGGTTCCAGGGGGCGTGAGACTCAGGTGCCTGGGGACACCTGAGCCTTTGAAAGAGGCAAGGTTAGGGCTCTCTGCCTCTTGCATTCAGTCCTGTAGCAATTCTCAGTCTTGCAATTCTCTGTGGAGGTGGATTCCAACTTGGCTTTCACCTGCTCGGAAGTGGGGCCGAGAATCCTGATGGAGTAGAAGGTGGCCCAGGTCGGGGTGTGGGGGTGGGGGTGGGGGAGAAGGAAGGGGGGCATGGGGACTGAAATCAGCCTTCTGGAAGAATTCAAGCCAATGTTGGGAGAGCGTCATTGGTTGATACAAAAAGGTACTCGCCTCTACTAAGTCATGCCTAATGTAACGGCCGGTGAATTCTAAGCTAATGCATCCCTTCACCATGTAACTATTGCCTAAGTGCCTGGCACGGTGCCGAGCTCTGGGAGACAGGAGTGTGAGGGGCAGGTGCCTTAGGCCGTCCTGAACTCACCCGTAACACCGTGATGTCATCAACAGCAGTGGAAGCTCACATTTCCAAGGCCATGCCCAAATCCAAAAATCAAGTTCAACACCCAGTTAGCGGCACTTTCTGTCTGCAGGCCCCGTGCTCCGAGCGGAGGGAGACGGGGGCAGCAGGGCCTACAGTTCCCACCTTCACAGAGACCAGACGTTGCAGGAAATGCACAGAGTGCCGAGGGCTCAGAGAGGAAGTGAGTCCTTCCTCCCGAGGGGGCAGGGAAGGAGGCCAGGAAGGCGGTCCAGCGGACAGTGCTTCCTGCCACTGAGGATGCCATGGACTTCCTGCCACTGAGGATGCCATGGACTTCCTGCCACTGAGGGTGCCATGGACTTCCTGTCCCTGAGGATGCCATGGACTTCCTGTCCCTGAGGATGCCATGGACTTCCTGCCTCTGAGGGTGCCATGGACTTCCTGCCACTGAGGGTGCCATGGACTTCCTGTCCCTGAGGATGCCATGGACTTCCTGTCCCTGAGGGTGCCATGGACTTCCTGCCACTGAGGATGCCATGGACTTCCTGTCCCTGAGGATGCCATGGACTTCCTGTCCCTGAGAATGCCATGGACTTCCTGTCGCTGAGGGTGCCATGGACTTCCTGCCGCTGAGGATGCCATGGACTTCCTGTCCCTGAGGATGCCATGGACTTCCTGTCCCTGAGGGTGCCATGGACTTCCTGTCCCTGAGGATGCCATGGACTTCCTGTCCCTGAGAATGCCATGGACTTCCTGTCCCTGAAGATGCCATGGACTTCCTGTCCCTGAGGATGCCATGGACTTCCTGCCACTGAGGATGCCATGGACTTCCTGTCGCTGAGGGTGCCATGGACTTCCTGCCGCTGAGGATGCCATGGACTTCCTGTCCCTGAGGATGCCATGGCCTTCCTGTCCCTGAGGATGCCATGGACTTCCGCCACTGAGGATGCCATGGACTTCCTGCCGCTGAGGATGCCATGGACTTCCTGTCCCTGAGGGTGCCATGGACTTCCTGTCCCTGAGGATGCAATGGACTTCCTGTCCCTGAGGATGCCATGGACTTCCTGCCGCTGAGGGTGCCATGGACTTCCTGTCCCTGAAGATGCCATGGACTTCCTGTCCCTGAGGATGCCATGGACTTCCTGTCCCTGAGGGTGCCATGGACTTCCTGTCCCTGAGGGTGCCATGGACTTCCTGTCCCTGAGGGTGCCATGGACTTCCTGTCCCTGAGGGTGCCATGGACTTCCTGTCCCTGAGGGTGCCATGGACTTCCTGTCCCTGAGGGTGCCATGGACTTCCTGTCCCTGAGGGTGCCATGGACTTCCTGTCCCTGAGGATGCCATGGACTTGCCCCCTCTGCCCTGCCCCTTCAGAATGAGCTGCTGGGCCGGCGCCGACACCTGGCCAAAAACACCCAGGAAATAAGAGGAGGAGGACATCCAGCCTTTGGCATAGGATGACAGCGGGAAGGAAGAGAAGGAGCAAAAAATACAGAAGATATTGCAGGAGAACCCACCTCTGAGACTGCATTGGAAGCATCACATCTTTATTTGGATCAACTTTTGAAAACCGATGTTAACAGAAAATCTTTATCATCATGACTATCCTATGATACTTTAAAAAATCTGGTTTTAAAGCAACTCAGAGCTCCCAGCTGGCGTGGCTCCGCGGTTGAGTGCCAACCTGTCCATCAGGAGATCACGGTTCGGTTCCCGATCAGGGCGTAAGCCAGGGTGGTGGGCTCCATCCCCAGTGTGGGGCAACCTATCAGTGATTCCCGCTCATCATTGATGTTTCTATCTCCCTCTCCCTCTCGCTTCTTCTCTACAATAATTTTAAAAAATATTTTAAAAATAAAAGAAAATACAGCAACCCAAAGCAACACGCATGTTTTCCTAAACACCACAAAATAGAGAAACAGTTTTGCTAGAAGTGTTTGCAGGCTAAAATGAGGCCTGAGGAGCAGGTGCACGGACCTTTTCCTCTTGCGAAGTCACATGGAAGCGGGCATGTCCCGCAGGCTGCCTGCCTCGGAGCTGAACTTCTCGGAGCTCCCAGGTCAGCGCTCCCAGGGCAGCCCCGCACTCGCCGTCCGCCCCGTGCAGTTCATCAGCCTCGCTAACACCTGGTCTTCCTCTCTGTCCTCAGGGCCGACAGCACCTGCCAAATTTGTGAGGCAGCTCGCGGCTTAGGGGAAGGCTCGTCTAAATAAAGGCCGGCTAACGTGATAGCGCTGGGACTTAATCCGCCACCGGCCCGCCCGCCCGCCCGCCCGCCCGGCCAGAAGGCTGATTTGCAGCCCTCTTCTTCCTGGGGCTCCGGATTATTAGGTCTCGGGTCCTGTGACCTGCTGGCAGCCAGAGCCTCGGGAAAGGAGGAAGGACAGAGCTGAGCGCCAGCAGCCAGGGGGCCTCCACAGGCCTCTGACCCTCAAAGGAAAGAGCCAGCGGGAGCCTTTGTCCCAGGGCCAGCCGCCTGCCACAGAGCATCCGCCTGCCCTGCAGCCGCGAAGTTCCTGCAGCCGGACCGGGAGTGACCGTGGTGCCGGGACAGCGCCCTCCTGCTCAGTGAGTCCCGCCTGACAGATAGGGACGCTGAGATCCCCAGAGGCCCGGCCGGGCAAGCTCTGGGGCTCCGCTGCCGCCTCCGGGCCGGCTCCGATGGACTGGGGCCCGGGGGTCCCTGACGCCCACCGCCCGCCCGCGGGGCCTCCTCGGCGCCTCCCGGCCGGGATGGAGGCGTGAGCGGCGGGGCCATGACGATGACAGCCGTGTGCGTGGACGGCGGCGGCCCGGTGAGCCCGCCCTGCGCCCGCTGGGACCGGCGGGGCAGCGTGGAGAGCGGCTGCCCCACGGAGGGCAGCCAGGAGGAGGCCGAGGGGCCGGCCCGCCGGCTGACGCCCTTCGAGAGGCTGACCCGGGACATGGCGCAGGACGACAAGGTGGTGAGGGAGATCACGCTGGGCAAGCGCATCGGCTTCTACCGCATCCGCGGGGAGATCGGCAGCGGGAACTTCTCCCAGGTCAAGCTGGGGGTCCACTCCCTGACCAAAGGTAGGACCTGCCCTCCCCCTCCCAGGCGGCCCCGGGGGAGCCGAACTCAAGGCGGAGCTGGGCCGGGGGTCCGGGGCCAGGAAGCCAAGGAAGCCTGAGCCCTGCCGGCGGCTATTTAATGTTCATGGTACCGAAACCGGTTTGGCTCAGTGAATAGAGCGTCGGCTTGGGGACTGAAGGGTCCCAGGTTCGATTCCGGTCAAGGGCATGTACCTTGGTTGCGGGCACATCCCCGGTGGGGCGTGTGCAGGAGGCAGCTGACCGATGACTCCCTCTCATCGATGTTTCTAACTCTCTATCTCTCTCCCTTCCTCTCTGTACAAAATCAATAAAAAATATATATTTTTTTTTAAAAAAGAAATAATGTTCACGGGAAGGGTGTGAAGACAGTGTTTATGTTTCCACTTTACGGACAGGGACACTGAGACACACAGAAGTTACATGTGGCCTCAGTGGGTCCACCGTAGAAGATTCTGACTCGCAAACACTCTCCCCCTACAGCCCGCGAATGGATTTACTCAAACACTGCGGGGGCTCGGCCAGTTCTCCGTGGTTAGAGCCTCTGCCCACGCCACGCAGGTTCACAGGTTTGATTCCTGGTCCAGGGCATGCACCTGGGTTGCAGGTTTACTCCCTGCTGGCCCCATCCCTCCCCAGGATGAGTGCAGGAGGCAGCCAGTCAATGTGTCTCCTGCACATTGATGTTTCTCTCTCTCTCTCTCCCTCTCTCTCTGTTCCTTCCTCCCTCTTTCCCTTCCACTCTCTCTGAAAAAGCAATGGAAAAAATATCTGCAGGTGAGGATTAACAAAAAAAAAAACTCTGCGAGGACTGTCCTACTGACAGTAGGACAGCGTGGCTTGGTTCCAAGGCAACCCCCAGCCAAGCGTTGGTTATGCCTCCCATCTGCGCCTGCGAGTCAATACCAATGACGCAGACCGGTCGCAAGCCCTCCGACGCACAGTCCGGGGACAGCGGGGTCCAGTCTGCCCTGCTGACCCGAGGCTGCTGCTTGTGATGTATTTGGGGGAAAGGGCTGTGCTCTCAGGACCTCCTCTGCTCCAGCCTGCTCTGGCCCATCCTCACTGAGGCTGGGTTCCTTGCTGGCCACCAAAGGCGCACCCCACACGGGTGGGTACCAGTCACGCTGGGTCCTAGTGCAGCAGCTCTTCCCCGCTCACCACTTGCTAAGCTGAAGCCTGGATATCATCAAAGGGAGGTACAACACAGGAAAGGAACCCTTGCAACTCTGTACAGTTTACGATTTCCCAAGCCCATGGGCTCGCTCTGCCCTCTCCCCGAGGGTCCGCCCTGACGTGTTCTCTCCTAGGCCTGCTGTTAGAGGCACACAGGCAAGGACGGTGGCTGTGGGACCCTCTCAGCTTCCTTGTCTGTCTCCATCCACATGTTTCTATTTCAGCTCAGAGTTTAAAGAGAGAGAGAACAGCCCTCACCAGTTTGGCTCAGTGGATAGAGCATTGGCTTGCGGACTGAAGGGTCCCAGGTTCGATTCCGATCAAGGGCATGTACCTTGGTTGCGGGCACATCCCCAGTAGGGGATGTGCAAGAGACAGCTGATCAATATTTCTCTCTCATTGATGTCTCCAACTCTCTATCCCTCTCCATGCCTCTCTGTAAAAAAAAAAAAAAAAAAAAAAAAAAAAAAAAAAAAATCAATTAAATATATTTAAAATGAATAAAAAATAGAGAGAACACAGGGGTGGGCAAAATCAGGTTTATCATTGTGAGTATCACAGAGTTTATTCTTGCATAATCATCCCCATATTATTGTATTACTTATTATTGTTGTTAGCCTGCTTTTGCCCGCCCCTGTATGACTGCTCACTGGCCAGTCGATGACGGGCCACCGTGGGGTCAAGGGCCTCCCGTGTCCAGTCAGTGGCAGCCTTAGGGTCCCGCGGCCCCTGACTTTTAACAGCCGCCAAGGCCCCGACAGGAGTGTCTGGGAAAGTGAGCAGCATGACAGGCATGTCCGCCACAGAGACAAGAAGCCACAGGACGGCTCTGATCCCGTAGACCGGCTCCAGCGTGGAGAAGCAACAACAACTGGTATTTATCCGTGACTTCCTTCTTGGACTCCTCAGGTGGCTGTGGCATCACGGAGTTAGTTAATTCTGGTCCCTGAGCTGCGAGAGCATGACATTTTCCATCGGTGCACCAGCTGGGCCCTGGGGTGGCCTCGCTGGCAGGAGGTCCTCACTGCTAACCAGCCCCCCTTGTCAGAGGTGCCAGTCACCCTCCGGTTACAGGATCCACGTGCCAAAGGGGACGAAGGTCAAAAGCACAGGCAGTGGGGAAATCAGATCAACAAGCAAGTTCAAACAAGCCAGAGAATGTACCGGCAGCTGACAGCACGTCAGCCTGATGCAACAGGAGACAGGAATCCCAGCTGCACCTCCCGACTCTCACGCCCTAGTCCTGGCACCACGCACGCCCCATCTCTCCCCTGGGCTTCTACCCGTCAGCCAGCCCCCAACCCGCAAGCAGAGGAAAGAGCAGGAAAATGAGAATGAGTGGAACGGAAAGGGGGCAGGAAGGGAAACCTGGGTGCAAGGCACGCGAGGGGCTTCAGGTGCCGGGAGACAGAACCTCGGGCAGGATGATGAAAAGAGGACGAGGAGAGTCAGGGTGAGAAGACTGAGGCCGTCCACGGAGAGGGGACAGCTGGCTCCTCTGAGTGGACGGGAATGGGAAGAAAAGCTCCTGTAAAAGCTGTGCCTCTAACCGGGAAGGTGACTCACTGGGAGTGGTTTGGGAAGCCTTGCCGGGGATTTCAGTGCCTGTCCCACAGCCAGGCCACACCAGAATGGGCTATAGGGGTTGCCATTCCTATCAGCACGGTCCCCACACAAAGCCCACGGGCCAGATGGTCGTGGGGATCCTAGGAAACACGGACACGGGGGGCTCCATGGGATAAATAAGGGGAAACTTTCCTGGGGAAGCCGAGGGCTCCCGTGGGGCAGCTCCCGGGACGGTGGTGTTCACCGGGACCGGTGCCAGCTGCCCTGGTCTCTAGAAAGAAGGCTCCAGTCCAGGCCGCCTTGCTGGCCGGGGTTTATTTTTGTGGTGAACAGCTCAGGTTCCCCCCGGGGCCTTGCAAGCTGATAGATAGGCTGAAGCCATCATGATTAGAATCAGGCTGATTAGGAATTTCTCAAAAGAGGTGATGCACTTGGCCTCTGAATATTTCATGTCCCATCTGTTGTCACCGAGAACAGCCAAAGAGGCCGCGAGCTGTCCCTTTCTCCGATGAGCCCCTCCTCACCTCTTCGCCCCGCGTCTTCCTCCCGCTACTCTGTCTCCAGTTCCCTGAACGCTTTCTCCTCCTCTCCCAACTTATTTATTTATCAGCTCGCTCATCCCACTTTTCAAAAATACAATACACTCTCCCGTGCCCACACTTCGCTCTGGGCCTTCCACAGAGATGAAGGAGGCACATTCTAGCCCGATAGGGACCCGCACTATGTAATGGAGACAGACAGAAGCAATCAGTAAGTGATGTCACCCTGCACGGGCCAAAGGGTGTGCTCAGCTGTGCCTGTGGGGGTCAGGAAAGGGTCAGTTGACCCGGAAAGGCTGGGGTTGGGTCTTGAGGTTTGAGGAGAAATTGTACAAGTCGCAGGGAAAAGGGAAACTCCAGGCAGAGAGAGGATGTCAAGCTCATGGAGGTGTGAGCCAGCCTGGGGAGTATTTGTAGATGTGAAAGCAGTTCGGGGAGGCTGGAGTCTGCGACGCACCACAGAGTGTGGGCGGGGCGGTGGGGGATGCAGGCAGGGCTCGATCATGGAGCACCTTCGTGCACATTTGGATTTTGCCATTTGGGGAGGCAGGAGTTGGCATCAGGCCCTGTGAGGGAAGATCAGGGATGAGCTCTGTGAGCTTGGGGACAGCCACTTAACCTCCGTCTCATAAAATAAAGGGGCTGATCTAGGTCCTTTTGGGTTCTAAATTTCTTTCTTTTTTCTTTCTTTCTAAAAAATATATCTTTATTGATTTCTGAGAGGAAGGGAGAGGGAGAGAGAGAGAAACATCAGTGATGAGAGAGAATCATTCATTGGCTGCCTCCTGCAGGAACCAGCGCCACCAGGCAGGAATCAAACTGTGACCTCCTGGTTCCTAGGTCGACGCTCCACCACTGAGCTGCTGCAGCTGGGCTGCGTCTACGTTTCTACGAGCCTCCGAACACTGGCGCGTTCTCTTCCTGTTTTCCAGAAAAGGTGGCCATTAAGATCCTGGACAAGACCAAGCTAGACCAGAAGACCCAGCGGCTGCTCTCGCGGGAGATCTCCAGCATGGAGAAGCTGCACCACCCCAACATCATCCGCCTGTATGAGGTCGTGGAGACCCTGTCCAAGCTGCACCTGGTGATGGAGTACGCGGGGGGCGGGGAGCTCTTCGGGAAGATCAGCACCGAAGGGAAGCTCTCGGAGCCGGAAAGCAAGTTCGTCTTCTCCCAGATCGTGTCTGCTGTGAAGCACATGGTGAGTGGGCGAGGGAGGCGAGGCTGGCTCTCATTCTACCCACGTGGGAGCGTGCAGCTTCCCATCGCCACCACGCAGCAGCTCGGAGGGGGCCAGTTTCACAGGGCCCCTTCTCTGCTGGTCAGAAGCCTGGCTGCGCTCCTTCTTCTTGCCTCTGAAGCGTCACCCAGGAACCTCCTGGCTTCTGGAAGTGAGCAGGAGTCACTCTGAGCAGCCCGATGACACTCACCCACACTGGTCACACCCATCTCTCCAACCTCTCGCCCAGCGGTTCTCAACCTGTGGGTCCCAACCCCTTGGGGGGTCAAACGCCCCTTTCACAGGGCTCGCCTAAGACCTTCGGAAAACACGGGTATTTACATTGCGACTCATAACCAGTAGCAAAATTACAGTGATGAAGTAGCAACGGAAACAATGTTATGGTCGGGGGTCACCACAACATGAGGAATGTATTAAAGGGTCGCGGCGTTAGGAAGGTTGAGAACCACTGTTCTAGCCAGAGAGCTAGCTCCTTGCTCTTTCGTGGCCTTGCCTTCCTGACACTGTGCTGAGGATGCCCTCTCCCCTGTCAGCACAGCTCACACTCCAACTCCCATCCACCCTTCACGACCCAGCTCTGACCTGTCTCTCTGAAACCCCCTTCAATCTCTCAGCAGCTCCCACCCATCTTTCTCGACTTCCGTGAGCTCCTCTGCCTCTTGCTGCCTCTGTGCTCACACTTTATGGTGTACTGCTTTAGCCCCTTATTCCTTCTTTAGCTAATCTGGGCTCCTAAAGCACATTCCCTAGGGTTTTATATATATATATGTTCTTTATTGATTTCAGAAAGGAAGACAGATAAACACATCAACCATGAGAGAGAATCACTGACTGGCTGCCTCTTGCACGCCCCCTACTGGGAATCGAGCCCAAAACCTGGGGTTGTGCCCTGACCAGGAATTGAGCCTTGACCTCCTGGTTCATAGATCTCCGCTCAACCCTGAGCCATGCCTGGCAGGGCTAGGTCTTGGAAGGGCTGAGCTCCGGTGCCCTTTGTAGCGCTGGCTCAGTTGCTGGGCGCAGGAGGAACTGACTGCAGACCCGGACACCACTTTCACGGCTCCGGTGCAGACGTTTGGCTGCCCTCTGGACCAGGTCTCAGCCAGTCCAACGGGCAGAAAAGAGACATTTGTCTGGGGTCATAGTAGAGCGGCTATTTCTAGTTCACTCCTTTGTCTGGACACTGTGGGGTCAGCAGGGAGTTAGTGACCTGGGGGCCCACGCGAGCAGGCAGGAGGAGTGGGGGAGGGGGAGGGAGCTGGAGAGAAGAGCCTGGTGGCCATGGTGGCGGGCGCTTTAGCCTGTCATTAGGTGGCCTCTGCTGCAGTGATCCTTCCCGGGCCCAGGAACAAGCCAGGCACCTCACCCAGCAGGGCAGTGGGGAAAGGAGTCTTCTGTGTCCTCCTTGGAGAAGAAATGAATCAGAAGACCGAGCAGTGGAGGGTGCATTCCCCCTGGCATTCCTCCCTGTGCTCTGGTCTCCAGAGGATGAATCGCAGACGTGGTCCCAAATTTCATGGCGGGTAATTACTCGGTGTCAGCACCCTGCTGAGCAGGGCAGACACAGCATCATCTATAGTTCTCCCCACGCCCCATGAGGTGCCCTCCCGTATCCCATCTTACAAGGTGGGGCACGGACACAGCGGGTATCGTTGAACCTACATCAGCAAGGGTAACGGTAAAGTACATCCCAGGAGTCGTTGGGACTAAGCAGGTGAAGGTTGTCTGGATTCAGCACGCCAGGGTGGGGGTGGGGCCTGGCTCAACCCACAGCGCACCTGCTGCTGGAACCTCCTCCCTCCTCCTGACCTCTGTGAGATGGAGGGGCCACCTGGAGGAGTGTGGTGGGCAAGTTGGGAGGCCCCCACGCCTTGTTGGGGTTGACCCTAGTCAAGAGATTGCTCAGCCGGAAATACCCATCGGTGACCTCAAAACAAAGGACTACTGTCTCACTGTGTTCCGGAACAGTAGTTTTGTAAGATCTGGGTCTTATTTCCGGCTCTGATTCCCGAGTTCACACGTGGGGGACAGACTCCAACCTCACCCCCCAGGAACAGAAAGCCTCCCATCCCATCCCTACAGTAAATGGGTGTTGTTTGGCTAACGGTTACGGCAGAGCAAGCTCTCCGCGTTTGCTGACACGGTCCATCTCCGCTGAGTTTCCGGTATTGTACATCACCTCACTGTCTCAGAGCCACCGATGGGCGTTTCCTGCTGGTGTTTCCCCGCTCTGGAAATGACCGTTCTCCCCTCCGTCTCCTCCCACAGCACGAAAACCAGATTATCCACAGGGACCTGAAGGCGGAAAACGTGTTCTACACCAGCAGCGCCTGCGTGAAGGTGGGCGACTTCGGGTTCAGCACAGTGAGCAGGAAAGGGGAGGTGCTGAACACGTTCTGCGGGTCCCCGCCCTACGCCGCCCCCGAGCTCTTCCGGGACGAGCACTACGTGGGCGTGTACGTGGACATCTGGGCCCTGGGGGTGCTCCTGTACTTCATGGTGACGGGCACCATGCCGTTCCGGGCGGAGACCGTGGCCAAGCTGAAGAAGAGCATCCTCGAGGGCGCGTACAACGTGCCCCCCGACATGTCGGAGCCGTGCCTCCGCCTCATCCGGGGCGTCCTGCAGCCCACACCCTCGGAGCGGTACGGGATCGAGTCCATCATGAACCACGAGTGGATGCAAGGGGTGCCCTACCCCGCCCCTCTGGAGCCTTTCCAGCTGGACCCCAGACACTTGTCAGAGACCAGCACCCTCAAAGAGGAAGAAAATGAGGTCAAGAGCACGCTGGAGCATCTGGGTATCACCGAGGAGCACATCCGGAACAACCAAGGGCGGGATGCCCGCAGCTCCATCACGGGCGTTTATCGCATCATTCTGCACCGGGTCCAAAGGAAGAAGGCTTTGGAGAGTGCCCCGGCAGTGATCCTCCCGGACCCTAAAGATCGGGACCTGAAGAAAGGGTCCCGTGTCTACAGAGGCATCAGGCACACCTCCAAATTGTGCTCCATTTTATAAACTGTGTTAGACGGTTTGGTAATGGACCAAGGTCATTGTTGCTGCTTTTTAAATTTTTTCACGGTCACCTTGGTGGGGATATTTTTATAATTTCTGAATAAATTTAAATTTAAGGTATGCATTCTCCCCCCCCCCCCCCCCCCCCCCCCCCGCCGCCCCAAAAGAAGTGTATTAGCTCAGATTCCGGCTTGATTTGCAATCTCCTCTTGTTCCAAAACTCCAGCTCTGTCTACAATGGAAGAGCTGCTGTGCAGGAAACACCCTGATGGAGCAGGACTTGCTTCAGCGGGGCTAAGGTGCTCACTGAGTCTGCCCCTTGATTGTGTTGCTTGTGGGTGTGCAGAGGTGTAATCTGGTGTGGCCTGAAGCTGTGCACTGGATGTACTGGTTCTAGGGCCTCCAGGAATGTGCAAAGTCAGCCACTGCCAAGAGCCACCTGGCAGGAGCTACAGAGGGATCTTCAGACTGCTATTGGCTATTTGTATTGAAGTTGGAGGTGCCCAGACGAGGCCCAGCTGTGAAGCAAGGCAGGCTGGTGCTAGTGCCTGGTGCCAGGTCTTGGGCCTTTTACTGATAGGTGTGGGGCATGGCTGCTCCAGCTGCAGCTTGTTTAAGAGATTTTAGCAAAGTCTGAAGCCTGGAGCCAGGACTGGCCGTTCCTATGGAAAAGCTGCGTAAACAGCTTGGGGTGGGACTGCAAATTGGATGGGGTGAGGTCTCGGAATCCCCAGGGCAGAGCAGTGGGCTACGGGCCGATACTCAGATACGGTGCCTGCCAGTCAGCCCTGCGACAGGGGAGGCCCCAGCAATGAGGGAACAATGACCCCTGCAAACACCTCTGTTTGGGAGAAAGCTGCCCGGATGCCAGACAATCCAGTTTCTCTTCATATGTGTCTGGGTCGCCCAAAGCCTCCCCAGTGATGTGAGTCTGAGTAAGTTTGTGTGCTGGCACTTTAAATGGGTCTCCAGCAGTCTCCCCATCTCTCAGCCACAGCCCTGCTGGGTTTTATAGCCCGTAGTTTGGGGCCTTCTCTTCCCAGCTCTGGAACCCTGGGCTGGGGACTGGTGTGGAGCTGGGACCCCTTGCTCCTCACAGACAGCCTTCACAGGGATTAAAATAACTGCACATGTGGGTGTCGGGCCATCCTGTTCTGTGCGCCCTCCCCTCCTGCACTTTCTTCTTTACTTCTCTAGTTGTAGGACGCCCATTCAGCCACCTTTCAGGCGTTTCTGAGTGATGGTGGTTCTGTATTTTAGTAGTAATTTTGATATGGTTGTGGGAGGCAGCAAGTACAGCCGTTTGCCTACACCACCATCGTGGTTCTCTGCCTGCCACTGTCAGATGCTAGATCCACCTTGATACAGTGGGAAGGCATGATGTTCTGCAGAATGTCAAGGTCCTTCAGACTCTATTAACACACAACAAGAGATTGGTCACCACCTGGGGCAACAGAGTAAATGACAATCGATGTCTACCCCAGGGAAACGTGAACTGTTTTGGGTCCTCCGTTCCCTGGTCTCATTCCAGTGTAGATTTTTATCCAATTTTTATACTCAAAAATTCTGGGTGCCTGTGTTGCATACACGAGTGGCAGAAAAGAGACTGCATGGGACCTGTCAATCAACTTACACCTGGGGCCATGATTTTCTCACTGCAACAGGCCACCCCAGGCTCTGCTCACCAACTTGCCTTTCTTTCTCTTTTTGGTTATGCACGTCAAGTAGCTAACACTCCAGCCAGCTGTCACTCAGAACTCTGTGATCTGCTAGCCATTGTCACAAGCGCCCACAGGGCAAGACACCCTGATTCCCACTCCAGCCTCATGTCCATTCGATTATGTCCACCTCGCCTGACATTTACATAATCCCACATGGCCTCTGCCACGCTGGACACCCACTGTCCCGTTTGCAAAGGCGTGCCCGGCTCCCCACAGAGTTTCTCCATCAATCCCTGACGTTCGAACAGGTGCTGCACGTTCTCGTTGCCTCAGTGAAGGGAACGTGCTCCTGGGAAACAGGTGGTTCTTCAGTCTCACGTAATGAATCCATGCTGACACTCACACCTCCTGGAACTTCCTGTCCCTGGCCCGAACACCATGTCACGGCAGCTCCACGGTGTGGGCCTCATTCACCGGGAGCCAAGCTCATGGCCAGCCTCAACAGCTGTCCCTGCAGGGCATAAGGACCAGCTCAGGCGCCCTTCACTCCACGTCACAGTTAAATGCTTCCAGGATAATAAACTGCCCTTTGTCCTGCCTCATATTTGTCCCTCCACCTTCACCCCTGGCCCAATCCTCTCAGGATCCTCCCCCGCTTCCTCCACATTGCCCCTTGGCTCCTGACAGTGCACCTCAGCCAGGTCCCACAGCTCCATCATGTCTAAGCTATTTCCTCCGGATGGGGTTGGCGGGAGACGGGGTTGGCGGGAGGCGTGGGGACCTGCCCGGCTCTTCATTTGGAGAACAACAAAGGTGTTGGAAGAGCATCTCCAGGAGATGAAGCAGCATCTTGCAGGCAGGCATCTGCCTCCCTAGTCTTTGGTGGGGTCTTCAAACAAGGAAGATCTGCATGATGTGATGGGAGCCGATTTCCAACATTTTCAGGCTCATCCTCCCTTTCGTTACTTACTCCCTACTCTCCCATCCTCTTCCTATCAAGGCCCTGACTTTGGTAAAGGAGGGATCAAGTACTCCCTGTGCAGCCCAGCCACCCTCCCCACCGGGCCTTGGGCCTCACGGGTGGTTTTCCTCTGCTGCAGTCCAAGGCCCTCAAACCTCCACAGTGGGCTGGAGAAGTTGGCTGACTTAAAAGCATGTTACTTAGTCTTTGCCCCAGGCTTCCAAAGCCGTTAACGAAAGCTGGCCAAACCCAGCCGTTATCATCGCCCTGTGCTGTTCCAGAGCCACAGGTGCCACAGGATCCGGCTCTGGTCCACCCGCACCTGTTGTAACAGTAACCTGCTGCCCCTGCCTGCAGGGCGACTGCACCCTGCCCACCAGCAGTGCCTTAGGTTCCACCGATGCCATGTCTTCATGATGAGAAACAACAACAATGTATTACCTGGCAGTCCTGTGGGCAGGGAGCCCAGCCTGAGCCTCATTGCGCTGAAATGGGTGATGTCTGGGCTTTCTGGAGGCTCCGGGGAGAACTGGCTCTTTCCTGCTTCTAGAGGCATCCCACGTTCCCCATCAGGTGGTTTCTTGTCTCCATCCTCAAAGCTGGTAATGCACACCTCCCACGGCCACCAGGCCACAGCCCAGTCCTTAACCTTAGTATTTGCTTTCCCCACGCAGGGTAACACTCTCAGGGGCCAGAGACGGCCATCTTTGGGGGTGGGGCTATCACTCTGCCAACTACACACCGTAATGGGATTGTTCACGTGATTGGTGAGTAAACCAACTCCAACCTAACATCCCGAGGGGCCACTTTCTGACTATACGGGGTATCAATGGTTTCCGCCTTAATTCTCCAAAAGAGCAGAGCCCGAGACAGAAGCTGGGAGGCAGGTCATGTATTTGGGAAATGATCCCAGGGTGCAGGACACACAGGAGTACGACGATGAAAAGGAGAGCCAGTGTAAGATGTGCTGCTGATCGGCCACAGGACACTGGTCGCTGATTCTGCAGGATCTGGTCACTGCTCAGAACTGTCCGCCCAGGGGATGGGAGGCAAAAGCATTTACCCACCAGCAAGTGTCCACTGGGCACCAGCAAGTGAACCCAGGGGAACTGAACCCCTCTGCACTTCCCGTATGTGAAATTTTGTGTACCAAGTGAGTTCTGTGGGGGACCCCACATCAAAGTGAGGTCAAAGAGGGGAGAATGTAGCAGGAATCCAAAGGGAGGTGCTCTCATATTCTCTGAGACCCTGGTTAAGACCACAGGGCAGAGGTCTGAGTGGGGCCCAAGATTTCGGATGCATAGATCAAAGGCTGGTGGAGTACCTTGGCATGTTTGAGGAATGGAGGAAAGGCAGGATGAGTGTGGGACTGAGTGTGGTGCTGGCAGGGACCAGATCCCATGGAAGTTTGCAAGCCTGAGTAACGAACGTGATGCTCCCACCACTCCCCCCTCCGGCGTGTGTGTGTGTGTGTGTGTGTGTGTGTGTGTGTGTGTGTGTGTGAGAGAGAGAGAGAGAGAGAGAGAGAGAGAGAGAAAAGTGCTCTCTATCAAGTAAGGTAGTCCAGGCAGCTCTCAGGATGAAAGCAACTTGAGCTAGACCCCAAAGATCAACAAGACTTTGCTAAGGTGGGTTGGCAGCTTTTGTAAAACTAAATTCAATAAGTCTTACTATTATTGCCTACACAAAGATGGACAAATAAGATGTTTTTTACTTGTAAACATTTACACTTGATCTTAGCCAAAAGGTCAAGAAGTGATGACTTGTAAACATTTAAATACGAATGCATTTTTTTAAATTATAAGCTAGAGCCGTGATGATCTAGAAACTTCCTGATTGGTATTTATAATCTCCTGCATCAAATTACAGCCTTTACACTTTGCAGGTGGAAGTCGGATCAACTATTTTCTTCCACCACCAATTAGAGGGAATAAAAGAGGAAGCTCTGTTCAATTAAGAGCAGTTGCTAGAAATCTTAAAGGATTCATGTTTGTGTCAAGATTACATAGCTCTGGGAGCTTGAAGATGGCGACCGAACAGTCAGACCTGTTCTGACTCTGGTCCCAGAACGGATAAAGGGGGCTTCTGAGTCGCTCAGGGAGTGTTATTTGGCAGCTAAGGGACAGCGGAGCTTTCAAGGAGGGTAAGGGAGGGTCCGCTGGACAGGATTTCCTGACCAAGTGGCCAGGACGGCCGCGGCAGCAGTGGCAGCGGCGGCAGCGGCGGAGGCTGCGGGCGTGGAGGAAGGGCTGCATTGTCTTGCCAGGAAGGAAAGAGCTTCTCTGAGGCGTGGAAAACGCACAGCCCGGAGGTCCATCGAGCAGCTGAGACTCCCAGAGCTGCGCAGACACGTGGATTCCGGGGAGATCTTCAGTCACCCA